CATCCCCACCATCCGTCCCACCTATTCCCAAGTCACCTCCGGGGCTTTCCCCGCAATGCCACAACTTCCCCCCAACTACCTCCTTGAGGACAACAACCAAATCGACCACACCTGCCGACACCACCCCAGATAACCTCAGCTTCAACACCCTCGCGCAGATCGGTCACCGCGACGGGGAAATCCCCCGTTCCTTCCGATCTGGCGAAATCATGTCCTTCTCCGGCCTCCCCCACGAGGACGTTTTCCTCTTCCTAACCCAGCTTCAGAACTCTTTTCAGCTCCACCACATGCCCCTTGCCCACTGGCTCCCCATTGCCACCTCCCGCCTCCTCGGCAATGCAGCCAAATGGTGGATGGCTGAAGCTAGCAACCGCCGAGCCTCCGGAGGATCACGCTACACCTTCCTCTAATGGGCCACCTTCCACCCCCAGAAAACCATTGACGACTACCTTGAACAATTTTGCCACCTCCGCCAGACCGGTCCCACAGACCGCTTTGTCCAATACGTCCGCTCCCTCCGACACCACCTCCCCCACACCGTCATTCCCGACTGCGCGTTCATCTCCCGCATCAAACGAGTATGCCACAAAGACCTTGCCACCGCCCTCGCCCACGAACCCGACATGCCCCTTGCTGACCTCCTCTCTTGCATGCTTCCCCATGATCGACTCCTCCACCCCCATCACCAGTCTGCGCCCGCTCCCTCCCGCCCCCTCTTTTTCCATAACAACACCACTCAACCCACCTCCGATGACGACTTCGACACTGCCTCTCTCGACCCCTCCCAATTCACCATCGAGGACCTCCAGACCGCCCATCTTATACGGATGGAACGCCAGGATCGTGCCTCTCGACCGCCTTCTTCCTCTCCACCCCGCCGCCTCCAGAAACTCACACCCGCAGAACGCATATACCTCCAGGAACACAACGGGTGTTTTCGTTGCCGCCAGTTAGGTCATCAACAGACCAACTGCCCCAACGCTAGCCACTTTACTCGACAGGGCCCTCGCTCCACGGGACCTGACCCTTCTACTCCCACTCCTCCCTCCACCTGAACACTGTCCACCCAGTCTTCCATGTCGAGTACCTAAAAGAATACCATGAATCCCCGCTCCAGTTCGCCGACCGCCCATATCCTAGACCACCACCAATAATGCTACCCACATGCCCTGAATTCGTTGTCGAAACCATCATCGGCCGACAAACGACTCAGGTATCTGATCATCCGGAACCAATCACTGAATACAAAGTCAAATGGACCGGATACCCCGACCAAGAATCTACATGGGAACCTCTCTCTAATCTTAAGAACGCCATGAAACTTGTCCGCGCCTATGATCGTGCTAATCCTACGTCCTAGATACCTATATCACTATGGCATAAACCCCCGCTAAAAACCCTTGCAACCCTGCTCTACACACACCCTTGAACCCCGTCCACCCTTCCCTTGATCCTCATTCCCGATGTCTGATCTGCCCTTGCCCTCGCCCAGCCTTGTCCCATCTGTCCTCTCCACTACCTTGTCTCTCTTGTCCAATGCTTGTGAACTTGCGTGACGCCGGCGATCAAGGATCTAATGGCAAGCGCACGAGGACGATGGCCTGCTGCCTCACTGTTCATGGAGATTATGCAGCTGGTTTGGCCACCATGCTGTTTCATTGGCCGGCATCCCGACTCGCGGACTTACTGGAGCAGCAACTTGTGACATGGATCTTTGCATCAGTCTGCGACTTCCTTGCTTCCAGATCAGACCTCATTGCAGTTCGTGTACCGGACACACCCTAGCAATTGGACTTTGACACTTGAACTACTACTACGCTTCTTGGACTACTACCTATCGCAGCTGCTGAAAACCGCTTCTACCACCTACTCCAAATACCTGATCAAGACCGCTGCAGACCCCCTTTCAAGACACTTGGACACTTTGTTCCTAAATGAGATTCTGCTTCCGACTCCTTCGGACACACCAGCCTTCGCATCCTGAACAAACATTTTCATTTTTATTTTTCCTGACTTTGACAACCCTGTAGAACATCATTAGCAGATCCCTGTTTCCCTAACCATTGTTCCCTGTACCCACTAGAACATCAATAGAAGTTCCCTGTTCCCTGAACTTTGTTCCCCCTTAACTTATAGCGAACCATGCAGTCCCCTTTAGTTCATTTGTAGGACTACCCTGTTCCTTGCAACCCCCCCTAGTTCATCAGTAGGACAACTCTGTTCACCGGTACCAAACCCTGTTCCCTCTTACTCCCGCAGCCCATGCCACCCACATTATACCCCTTTTCCCTTTTCGACTTGTTAACCAGTGATCGGCCCCGTCCCGTCCTTCACAGATTTCAGCATTGCTTCATGATTTTTGGCAGCCGGGACGTTGCCTTCTAGAGGGAGGGGATAGTGTTACGGACTTCGCCAGGGCTCGATCCCTGGTCTATCTTTTGCTGTTTCGGCTGCATCCCGTTTTCGGCCTGGCACCCTTTTTCCAAACCCCTCCTTTGGTACCGTAGGATTTTGGACAACTGGCGCCATGCTGCAATTCGGGCGCCACTTTCAAATACTGCATTTTTCAGTTCTGCCCTCGGGGCCTTTGCAGAAATGCCCCTGGTACCGTACGTGTCACCGGTACTTATACCGGCTCCCCGTACGGTACGGGGACCAGTCTCGTACCAGTTCTCTGCTGCTGTACTCGTACTCAGTGTGACTTGCTGTTTCGGCATTCGGAATTGAAGACTTCGACTTTGTGACTTGCCACTGTGTCTGCGTCCGATCCTCAGTTCGAGTCCGTCGTGTCAAGTGAGTGAGTGTGCGTGTGTGTGCTCTCACTCTCTCCCTCTCTCTCCTCTCCCTCGGCTCACCCTCAGCCTCACGCTCGTTACAGTCAGGGTCATGGCATTATCCAAGATGAACCGTCCTAGTATAAATCCTGTTTGATCTATTGGCTAGAAGTTTCGCCAAGATTTTGTATGCTACTGTTAGTAGTGTGATTGGTCTGTAGTTCCTAATGTCTGTTGGGTCCCTTTTTTTTGTAGAGGAGTGTGACTATACCGGTGCTAAAAGTTGGTCCTAGGCTTTCATTGGTCCATGCAGTTTTTATGAAGTTGCAATATTCATCTCCTAAGTGGCCAGAAGGTTTGCCAGAATTCCTTTGAGAGTCCATCTATGCCAGGTGTTTTTCCCAGTTTCATGGAATACAAGGCTCTTTTTAGTTCTTCATTTGTGATTGGTTGTTCTAGTTCCTCAACCATGGTGTGTAGTATAGTTTTCTCTAGGTATTTACTGAATTTTTCTCTAGCCTGGAGGACTGATCCAGGGGTGGGATAATCTGTCTTAGAGGCGTACAACTCTTTGTAGAAGGATTCAACTATGGATAACATCTTTGTCGGATTGGACGTTAGGCCTCCTTCTCCTCTGAGCTGACTGATGGTTGAGTCCCTTCCTCTCAATGTGATTTTCTACAAAAAGAATTTTGTCATTTTCTCACCCATCTCTCATTCCCTTATCCTGACTCTGAGTCTCATACCGTTAGCAGCTCTTCGTAGTCTGTGGAGCTGGGGTTATTACATAAATTGGATTCGGCGATATCAACTGCTGCCTCTAATTCCTTTATTCTCTTATTTGTTTTTGCTGCTAGTTTCTCTGAGGCTGCGGAAACTGCTTTGGAAAGGTTGGCTATTAAGGATGAGACATCCATCTTTTCTCTGTCAAAGTCGATGCAGGCTCGTGCTATTGCTTCTTCCATTTTGCGAGTATGAAGTAAAGAGTTGTTGATCTTGAAAAAGCCTGACCCTTTTTGTGGTCCGGGGTCGAAGATAAACTCTAAGAAGATTAGGTTGTGATCTAATCCATTGTGGTAGGGTAATTTTCCTATACCTACATTGTGTATAGAGCCTCTAAGGGATTCTGATACTAGAAAGTAAGTAATCTACTGCAGAGTTGGTAATGTACTGGGTTCTATTTCTTTTCCTGTATGTGAATCTCTTTATCTCTGGGTGAAATGTTCTTAGGGGCTCAAGTAGTTTCCTTTCTATTAATAGTGTGAGCATTGCACGGGCCTCTGTTTGTATTTTACTTTCCCTTTCGCCTTGAGAACATGACAATTTGTCCCTAGTTGGGTCCAGTGTCGTGTTATAGTCCCCTACTAGGACTACATGTTTTTTATCGTTGCACATTGTTGTTATGCTTTGTATGAAGCTTTGTCTTTGGGCAAAGTCGTTCGGGGCGTAGGCATTTATAAATTGGAAGGATTCTTCCTTGAAAGTGAAGAGGGATTCTATCCATCTGCCTTGTACTAAATCCGAATTGATGCATTCTATTTGTATTAGCTTGGCTGCTCTTGAGTTGTTGTGCCAAAGGATAGTTGTTCCTATAGATCCAACTCTTGGTCAGTGCCCAGGAAGCTGCTCGAACGTATTTTAGTCTTAGTAGTATTTTATTGATTATAGCTCTGTGCTCTGGGGAATCGGTGAGGTGGGTTTCCTGTAGGCATACTATGTCTGGTGGATCTTTTGAGAACCATTTTAGATAGTTGGTTATCCCATTTGTCTGTGCTGGTCAAGATTGTGGCTAGCTCATTGACATTCCATGACTAACCGAGAGTTCAGGCTCCTTAGGTTTTAGCTTATAGTTCTTGGACCTGTTTCCCACCTGTGTGAGCGTGGGATGTTGTTCTGCCATGGAAAGTCTGTGGGGGCCTTGTTGTGCTTGTGAAATGAGGAGTTTTAGTTGTCGTTAAATTAGATTCTCATTCGTAAGGTTTCTCTTCGTTTTTTTTTTCCCCTTTTGTTTTCCCCGAAAGAAACAGAACCTTACGGTTCTGGCTCCTTTCCATTCTGGGGAGCATCAGTGCGGTTCCTATCCCCATTGCCTTCTGCTACCTCTATTTACTGTTCGGAGCGTCCCAGCGAGGGCCTTGTCTAGCTTGCTCCTCTCAGCTACTTGGCCGTCAGAACGGCATTAGGTACTCGAGTAACTAGCTTGGTCCATTAACTGCCGATCCTGCGAAAAAAACTAAACGCTATGTGTTCTTGAATTGTAATTTCAGTGAATTAAAGATCTATGATTAAACAATATGTACACCAGGACCTCAGGGCACAATGGCAGAAAGTCAAAGATCAGCTGGATAGGCTTCAGACACAAAAGGATAAAATTTCACAATTTTCAGGGGACTGGTTGGGCAACGACAACGGGGGGCGGATCGCCTTCATCAAATGGGAGGGTGGCGGCAGCCCCGAAGATAACGAAGGTACTGAGGAAGGCAGCCATGCGACAATCAAGAGAGACTATCATATCTGCTTCAGAGATTGGACAATGGTGGATCCGAGGATCCCGTTGCGGCCGCCCTCGGAATTTCCCGATCCCTTCCCTCCCCATCAGTTGACCATGGTGGATATGCAATGGTATGGAGTGGTGTGAGTGGGTCAGCAGTAGGCAGTGCTCCTCTCATACATGGCAGTCGCAACATCCAAAACCAGATCAGGTGAAAAAGGGGGAAGGAGGAATAGGTGTTCAATTTCCTCTCAATAACCTGCACAGTTAATCCTCTGCAGAGCAGAGCAATCAATGCTGGCAGGCTTCTTTTCTCAGTTTTTGGTATTCACTCTGTATATGGGACGCTGGACCCGTTTTCCAGCAGGTGATGCTCCCCACCAATAGATGGAGCCCCTCCCTGCGTGCTAGTGGTGTCTGCTTCATCAGCGCCACTAGCACTGCAGACACCACTAGCACTGCAGGGGGCGTTTTTTTTAAAAAAAAAAAAAAAAAAAAAAGATCGATGACATCACTGAATCTCCTTCTACCTCTTCCTTTTCCCTTTTTCGGTCTGGGTAACTTTACTGTTGAAGTTGGAATAAGGAAAGCCAGGCTGTTTTAGCT